TCATTCATGACATACATGTACAAGTTACGAATACAAATTGTTTATAGTAAGCGACTACGCAATAAGACAAATACCAAACGATTTTCTCGCAACTAGTATATACAATGCTTTGAGTGAAATGAATTCATCCATTCCTTCGATCCAACTAATTTATTACTTTTACTAGGAAGTATTGAATTGGTATTTGATAGAACTTATCAATGGCAACAAGAGATCAATATTGAGTATATATAGGTACTTATTAAAATTCCAATTGTGTGTGGCGAACATTGGGTAACAGTTGCGACCACATTATATTGGTGTGGTCGAATGGACGGACGGGCGGGTATATTGGACGTTCGGGTCAGCTCGCCTGGTTTGTTGAAATGACCTACACATAATTCAGATGGTATAATATATAATGTAAGAAATATAGTTTCATGTAATTTTTTTCAATGCTAGATAAATGTAACTTTTTGCAACTGTATATTATTTTAATTGAAAAGTGTTAAATAAAAAAAATACCCTCTTAAAATAAAAAAAAAAAAACAAATAGTACATTGAATTTTTATAACGAGCATATACTTCACCTGATGGTAAGTAATTACCGCCACCCTTAGGCACTTGCAACATCAGAAAAATTGCAAGTAAGTTTCCGGCCTATTAGTAAGGAATGTGCTCTATTTTTTAAGGTTTCAATATCGTATCTGTTCGAAATATTGTCAGAACTTTTTTTTTATAGATGGTGTGTATCCAAATATGATGAAAATAAGCATAATTTAAAGTTCCAAATACAAAAGCTGTTATCATCGTTTTTAGTGTAGAAAAAGGTGATAATCATTCATGACATACATGTACAAGTTACGAATACAAATTGTTTATAGTAAGCGACTACGCAATAAGACAAATACCAAACGATTTTCTCGCAACTAGTATATACAATGCTTTGAGTGAGAATTCATCCAGTGAAACTGATAGATTACTTTTACTAGGAAGTATTGAAATTTGATAGAACTTATCAATGGCAACAAGTTATTGAGTATATATAGGTACATTGTGTGTGAATTCATCGACCACATTACGAATATAACGGACGTGATATTGGACGTTCCAGCTCGGGTTTGTTGAGAACCATAATTCAGATGGTATAATATATAATGTAAGAAATATAGTTTCATGTAATTTTTTTCAATGCTAGATAAATGTAACTTTTTGCAACTGTATATTATTTTAATTGAAAAGTGTTAAATAAATAAAATATTCACTTAAAATAAAAAAATAAAAAAACAAATAGTACATTGAATTTTTATAACGAGCGTGTACTTCATCTGATGGTAAGTAATTACCATCCTTAGGCACTTGCAACATCAGAAAATTTGCAAGTTTCCGGCATATTAGGAAGGAATGTACTCTAATTTTGAAGGTGTCAATGTCGTATCTGTTCGGAAATATTGGTGCTAAGAGTTGTTTCCATACTTTGGTTTGGAAAAAAATGTCTACAGAAATGCACGGTGGAGGACCGCCTTTCATCCAAATAGTCGAAATGGAACTTCAGCTTATAGCGGATTATATAGTAATTAAATTTACTAGCTGGTGTAATAATCTGAATAATTGCTCCGAACACTCCTCATGGTATATATGTGATAAAAGACTCAAATAAAAGTAATGTCTTTGCCCAATGAAAGATTGAGTTGATCGACAAGTCTTTGATTATGAGCCTTGCATTCGGTCCAATGAAAGAAGCTTATATTATGGTAATGTATGTATACTCGTATAGTCGTATATACAAGTAGACTTTTGCTTCACAACAAGAATTTTTGTTACCCGTGATAAAGTTGCATTTTCAAACATCAACATTTTAATATTCAAAATCTATTCTGAATTGGTAACTAAAATGGATGTTAAACTTAAACTGTCCACTGTTGAAGTCTACCCCTTGGAGGTTTTTAAATAGTTGCCACGTTTGCCAGGCGGTTTAGCAACCGTGGTTAAGCTTTGGAGATGTTTTAAGAGGGACGCTGCTGCCTATGCCTCGCCCTCCCTTAGACTCCCTTTACGACACCCACGGGAAAGGAAAAGGTGGTATATTCCATACCGGGCCCATACGGCAACTTAATAGTGTAACTTAGCCAAATACTCAAAGGGATATTAGAATTACACTATATTCTGTAATGCCCATAATGCCATTCATGTCTAGTCGACGGGTACCACTTTCATCAGATTCACCAACAGTTTGTTTATTATTCCAAGTTGCATAAAAATAATCTTTTTGAATGGAATAATAAAAAGTATCTATGAAGTTAAACATTTTTTCTACTCGAACTACACTGCATACAAAAGCGAGGTAAAAATAAGGATTCACCGTTTAACAGAAGGTCCTGTGTAACCTTTTTCGAGTGTTTGCTGACCCCGGAAGTTTCCTCTGTCTAGGGTTTTGACACAATATTTACCTATCTACGAAGGGATTTCAACGCAACAAAGCAATTGAAGCGTACCCCTATATTACGTGTAATCAGCTTTTCTACTTACAGTTTCAAACATAAATCCTATTTTCAAATTAATTTTCAGTAGTATAGATGGTATTAGTTGGCGCTACATCTATCCACGCAGTGATTACTAATTCCGCTTATATTACCAACTTGACTAGTAACTAGACTTGTAAATTGAACGAGCTATGCTTCGTTTGGACTAAATAGGGCTCAGCAGTAAGTCCAGAACTATTTATTATTTAATAATTTTTACCCGCGACTTTGTCCTGGTGACTGAAATTTATTGATGGACAGATTAAAAAGTAACCTATTACATTGTCCATATATGATACTTAATGTTAAATTTTATAATGACTGGATGAGGTAATGAACGAACAAACTCATTTTCATGTTTAAAATATTTATCTAATTTACTAATATTGATTTTTTTTTAGTTTATTTTTAGGAATATAAAATATATATATAATCAGTTTTATTACACATAATAATATTATAACTTAATTCTAATAAAAAAAAAAAAAACATAAGTGTACATTTTTTGCAAAGTATCTCATTTCTCTTAATATTTTTTTAACTACGCAGTAGCCTATATGTAATACATATGTACCCACCAACATGTAATGACGTAATTACGAGAACGACATATCTCTACACACGTAAATACCATAAATGTAATATATCTATTACAGCAATAGCGGTCTCGCTGACTACACACACGAAATGGTATGAACGTTAAGACTACAAGTTTATTTATAATTTTAAAGTAAGTAGTTTGCACTACAGTATTACGAATTAAAAACGAACTCATATTAATAATATCTAGTTGTTTCTCATAGTTTCGTTCGCATGATCTCGTATCTCATGTTTAAACAGAAATTTCCAAAAATGTCTTATCAGTATTCCCTAACATTATAAAATATACAAAAACTGATCAACGCACAGTTTTTGTGTTGTGTATTGTATATTAGTTAGTATTATAATGAGGAAATATTTCATTTTTGTATATTTGTTTGTAAAGGATGTACTCAAAAACTACCCAAACATTTTGTATTTTATTTCACTGTCTTATCCCTTAGAAGAGAGTGAAATAGAATTAAAAATATTTAGGTAATAAAGGAAATTTGAGCTAGCGCTATATAATCTGCGAGTAACACAGGCTATACTGATTTTTTTATTCTAAATAGAGGTTCCTACAAAAATTACAATAATGTAACCTAAAGTATCAAAACTTTGTTTATTAAAGCTAATATAAAAAAAAAAAAACTAATTTATCCTTCTTTCTATACATGTAAAGTCAAGGCAGATCGTTAGTTATTTTATAATTTTATTAATTCAGAGGACAACTTAATATATTTCAATGATTTGGTAAATAAATAAACTACTAAAGCTGAACGAATTAGATAGCAATAGTCATTAAGAAGAATGAACGTGATTTACAACTATACAGATAGTAAAGTCTCATCAAACGTTCCTTGTCGTGCTTTTGGGAATACAACCATAAAAAAGAAAGCAGTCTCATTAGCATTCCGCCTGAAATAACAACAATGTGAGTGCAAATTAAAATAGTACAGTTTGTACGAATGTAAATACCTACTTATACAGAACAAAACTTTTTGTTTCCTTATTAGTTGATATTAGTGGTTGTAGACATTTAGCGCAATTTCAAATGTCTTTATTTATTGTATACGAGTATAAAGTGATAACACTTATACTTTTCAACCGACTTCAAAAGGTTCTCAATTAAGTTGTATTTTTTATGTCTGTTACCTCATAACTTTGTCAATTCTAAACAGATTTCTAAAAAATTTCAAAATAACTGGTTTTGTCACAATTGAAGTCTTTTGTTTTGTGAAATTATTATTCATGAGTTTACTTTGTTATAATAATAATTTAACATGAATTTATAGTCTTCATTTATAATTAGTACAGGACTTGACTGTATTTGCAACTGTGACAAATGTACGATTTTCAGTGAATAATTTAAAAAATCGATGTGGAATGATTTTTCAGTATTTTATTCTTTGATAATACCATAATTAGTTGTATAAATTGTTACACAACTTTATACAAGATATAAAAAGCGTGACTACTGGCAAAACCCCCTTATGAGGGAGGCTATGTTTAGCTGTGGACAGTCAACGGGTGACAACAAGTTGTACAAATACAGATTTACATAATACCTTATTTATTATACATTGACATCGGTCAGACCTCAAAATGAATATGACAGACCTGTAGAAAAGTATTCTTTAAAAAGATAAATATTTTAAAATACTTTATTTCATAAATTCTCCTAATTTGCCGTAATGTCCCATGTTAATGATAACTAAATACCATTACAAACTGTTAGGAATAAATATGCTCGTGTAAGCGTGTTGATTAGCGAACCCTTTATCGTTAACAAGATCTGTCTAACTTTGCCAATTCGGGGGTCGACAAATCGAAATCGCTTTTAGCAAAACAAGTATTAATTTTGTATCGGCCTCCCGACAAGGCGGTCGACGCGCAGTCTACAGAAGCTACCCCCGCCCTGGATGTGGCCAGTCGTTGCCGTACTGTCGCACTCGCCCCACGTCCTTATCGCGTCAAATAACCTATAACACATATTCACGACCACGATAATACAATACATCAAAATTGCCACAACAATTTTATCGTGAATGTACGTCCTGACACGTTTTTTTAGTATCTTAAATTGCTACGTATTAGCAATGTGACTATATAATTGAATTCGGGTAAATATTAAGGGTGAGATATAAGACGATGTGTTAGTCTTAAGTGTGACTGGTAAAATCTTATTGTAAAGTGGATCGTACGTGGATTTTATTGTAGGCTGTCCATCGAGCGCAAGTAACACATTCATCACAAAAGGTAAGATTGTTTATGTCACATTCTTTCAATGCTAATTAGATACTTCAAAAAAATTGTAGCTAATTCAAATGCATGTTCTATTTATAGTTAGCATCTAAAGAAAGCTATCTAAATTGCATTAAGAATCAAACTTAATTGTACAGCTGCTACAATCGTTTATGATTTTTGATTTGATTTGTAAACAAGTCTGTCTATTTAGTTGCTATGAATGTTACTAAAATAAATTACATTATTTACTAAAATAACTACATTTTCTATTATATATTATTATTTTTTATTACATATGTCATTTCGTAATGGATTTATTCTTTAATTTATACAGTAACTTATGTTACATTTTGTTCTGTTTACGTAGTAGTAAGTAGCTGAAAGGTTTCTAACGTTTAGTTAGTAATAACCTTATTGTTCCTAATTAATTACTTTTTAGCTCAGTTGACAATTATAATTAATTAATAAATAGTAGGTATCTGCGCATAAAATTCAAAACGACGTCATATTTGCGCCTTCTTGACTTTCAAACCACCTCTGTCAATTTTCATTAAAATCTGTATAGGTCTTGAACCGTGAAAATATAAATAAACTGAAAAAATGGTTATAAATGATATATACCTACAGGTTATATAATTTGAATTTGTATATATAACAGTAATAAATACTTATAATACAACCACAAGAATTATCCGAACTCCAAACTAAAACATTTAGGGCTCCAACTTAGACCCAAGGCAATTAAGAAAAGTTTGGAAAATTGCCCAAGCGTTCGCTCATCATACCTAAGAATTCATACAGAGAAACAGGTGTGCTACTATAAAGAATGCATTGTTAATAACGGAATCTTAATCTTGTCCTCATTTCGATGATCAAATTGACTTGAATCATCCTCATTATTTCATCTTCCACTGATACTTTGTCATTGCACACCGTTAGTATAAACAAGTATAAACAGACTATGCTGATAAATGAGTTATAGGAATATTTACTTACCAAAAAATATACTTTGTGATACATGAAGGATGCCAATAGGTACGTCAATGTCATTAAATTTGATTACTTTCGCCTATCCTAAAAATTCATGAGGCCCCTTTGTGTAATCCTATGCGTTATAAGAATACTTACCTAATTTCAAAAAACTAAACTATATATATTTACATTACACTAGTTAATATTCTTCATCACTATTTTCTGATTTAATTTCCATTTTACATTCGTGCATTAATTTTCTATTTAAACCATTTGTCATTTAATGTTGAGCACAGGCGTTCACTATTATCATACATAAATTAAAAGGTATCTGATCATTCGAGGTCTTTGATCTAGAGTAGGCACTTACCTTTAACAATCCCCTGAAACTTTCTTGAAGTCCATCTAGAGTACGATAATTCAAATATGATAAAGTGTTACTCTATTTAGAATAAGATATCTGCAATACAATTATAGACATCCTGTTTATTTTAACGTAGTACACTATAGTGAAAATGTAAGGCCTCACTTTACATATCACTTGTATTCTTTGAATTATACGAAAATTCAATATTTCTTTTGTATATTGATCCATTAGAGATTAACTCTAATAAGAAAATCAACAGTATTTTTCAATTGTCAATAGATGCTGCGGCGTAGCTCTGTGGTAGTACTCTGTACAGGTTGTCATACTATGTAAGTTGGTAATTGAGAAGATATTTTTATTGAGAAAATATCGAAATCGAGGAAATGTTGAAATCTAGAAAATATCGAAATTAAGACGATATCGAAATTGATTAAATAATTAGATTTGAAGTGAATTAGTTAGATAATTAAAAATGTTTATATTTCATTAGTTGCAATCAAGTATATGGTTCATCATTATCATTTCAGCCACTATCAGTCCACTGATGGACTGCCATAAAGAATGGTCCTGAGCCACCTGCATCCACTGACTCCCTGCAACACGATTTCAGGTCCTCACTCCATCTAACGGAGAGTCGTCCTACACTACGTTTACCCGTGCGTGATTATTCAAAAACCTTTCTTCCCCATCGGTTGTCGTTGTTATTTTGGTTCTTTTGCGGATATCCTCGTTTCGGATTCTATCACGCAAAGAGACTCCGAACATAGCCCTCTTCATAGCCCGCTGAGTAACTTGTAGCTATTGCATACAGGCAATCGCGTAGGATCACATTTAAGTTCCGTAAGTCATCACTGGCAACACGCACTGGTTCAAGACCTTCGTCTTTAAATTCTAAGGTATTTTGAATGAAAAGATATGGCGTAGTTTCCCGAACGCTGCCTAGCCGAGTTGCATTTATCGGTTGACCTCTGGGTCGAAGTTGGACTTACCCATTCGGACAACTTGTTCCAGGTATACATATTCATCGACAACTTTGAGCGTAGTATTCTTAATCGTAACCGGCATAGTTGTGACATGGACGTTAGACATGATCTTAGTCTTGTTCATTCTATGTTCATCTTAAGATCTACTTGTTGAGAAACACCATTGAGGTCATTGAGCATAGTATTCAAGTATACGGTTCGCATCATAATAATTGACAAAGGTGTCTGGTGTGTAAATTTCTAACTCATAACTTTTCACTTCTTGTGAACTCTGTTATTCCTGAAATTATCTGGTGAGTGTCATACTTTACAGAAGTCAATGATATATTTTAGAAATTCAGGTTTTCTAAATGTTGTAACAATTCACTGAATATTATTATTTTGATATATAAGAATAATTTATTGTCTATTACATGAGATGATATATAAGCAATGTTAGCAATACCCAACATGACTAACTTTACAAGTGTGAAATTGTTTTCTGGCTACACTGAATGAAATTACTTATTCTGATATGAAATATGAAACAACAGAGAAATTACTAAAGTATATTTGTAAACATAATTCTCTTATAAATTTAATAGGAAGTCATATTCGTAAACATGGAAATGTACTCGTATTTACATTATTAAACACCTCAACACCTCTTTATGTGGATTAGTGTCTTGTTGTTGTAATGGGGTGGGTTTGAACAATGCAACGACGTCATTTGTAGGGTTTCTGTACAATGCAATGCAGACTACTTTCTACATTTCGTCACATACTTTTAACTGTCATTACAAGTACAATATAGTTATTTATTTACTGTATTTTAGAATGTCAGTATATTACGCGATCAATAAAATCAAAAAGCTGAAAAATTTGTACTTTGAATTTCTAATCACGAATATATGTTCCTCTGAGCATTGACGGCAGAGAAAAGGTCGTCATCCATTTCGATATTGTCCATATCGGTCGAATATATATTTTCGATAATAGATTTTTGGATACTAGATTTTTAACATATTCGTTATTGGACCAGTATACAGATATTGCAACTAAAATATAATACATAAATATTGGTAATATATTACCCACCCCTAATAATTAAGTAAATGTTTTCCCAATTATTCTATATTCCCAAAATAAATACTCCATTATGTTATTATGTTGTCGTTAATGAAAAATCCCCTAAATACTGTTAGAATCAAATAATATAATACCTATAAACTATAATATAAATATATATATATATATATTATAAATAACTGACTTCACTAACGATCACAAATACTGGAGGATGTGGGACGAAATAAAAAGGAGATGTGCTATCACAAAAACAGCTGTGAGTAAACTGCATAAAATCTGGAAGAACCGCAATATTACAAAGAACACCAAAATGCATATAATGAGGAGCTTGGTTTTTCCAATTTTTCTGTATAGTGCAGAAACTTGGAGGATCAGGCAACAAGAACGCCGAAAAATTAGAGATGTGGTGCTGGCGACAACTGCTGCAAATATCATGGACTGCCTTTCGAACTAATGTTTCCATTCTGAACGAATTGAAAATCAGAGAGAGATTGTCGTCAACTGTTCGTATACGAATTCTCAAGTACTTCGGCCATATCATCCGGAATGAAGATTGTATGGAACGTCTAATTGTCCAAGGAGCGGTACAAGGCAAACGTTCTCGGGGTCACCAACGCGATGGACTGACCTCATCAAAACGGCCACACAGCAGTCTATTGTGGAATGCTCTCGCTCGGCGGCGAACAGAAGTAGATGGAGACATACTGCGAGGACCTCAATCGCGTAGGAGAGCCTCATCGACGATCCACTGTCATTGTGAAAACCACGACCACTCTGTCAAGAGTGTACGACTGAAGAAAGAGATAACTAACTTAAGTTTAACAATTATACGGATAAAGTTGCAAGATTATCTTATTATAATAATCTAAACTAATATTATTATAATAAGAGATTTGTTTTTTTTTTTCTAACGTAATGAAAAATACTTAACCAATTTTAAAAATTCTTTTAGTAAGCCCATATTTTAATAAAAAAAAACCCGTGCGAAATCGGGGCGGGTCGCTTGTTCCTAATAAAAGAATGGAATTGTTTCACTAGAGAGCGCGTACCTATTGCGAGTAGATGTTAAAAAATTCTCCAAGCCTTTTTATGCTTCAAAAAAGTCATAAACCTTTGTGGTTATAACGTTGATACGCAACGCAAAATTGATGTCACGACGTGAACACAGTAATGAATTTCAAGGGTAATGAAAACCCTGACACTCATTGCCGGTTTCAAGTCATGACACGGCTCTGCCGTAACCCAATTACATAACAGAAGTGATAAAAATTCTATGACGTTGCATAAAAAAATGTTTAATCAGAATAAATATGCTATGTATATTACTTTTTTTTAGTACATTACTAGACTTATATGAATTTATTAGAAAAGGCAATTTATTATTTATAATATTTAATATATATATATATATATATATATATATATATATATATATATATATATATATATATATATATATATATATATATATATATAGCAGTATCCTAGAATAACATATCAGTTTTCGATCTTTAAGCATTCGAGAAAAACTTCATCTTACAGTTAGTACTGAAGAAAAAATATGAGAAAAATTAAATGTTAACCTATTTTTTTTTACTTGTAGTACTTATTCTAATTTCAGA